TGCAGTCCTATGGATCTGGCTGTTATTCCTGATGCTACGTTCCCTACCCTTATGGCAAACCATTTCCTTTTCTCCCTGAGGTGCTCTGGCAGCAGCACTTCAAGGTGCTTGGAGGAAGGATAACAAAGGTGCTGGTACCCTTCTGTCCCTGAAGACACAGAGCATGAGACTGCAGCAAGCCTTGGAGTTGCTGAGTGATGCTTAGGATTGAGTGTTCTCCAAGAGAAGTGAAATAGCCACTCTCAAGCATGATTGTATTGAGCTGAAATCCAGTGGAAAAAAGCAAGGGGCTGTCATGGGAGATGGAGAGCATCTGGTGAAAGAACACAGTTTAACCTCCACAACTACATAGGGAGAGCTCTGGATATCACCCTGAGCATCACCACGCTGCTTACAGAGGGTCTCCACCACGCACTGTGTCCATCAGGCAGCAGGAATTCATCTTGGACAATACAGTTTTAGCAATGCTATTAATACTAACAATCTCAACCAACACAGATAATGCCCTTTGTGGCAGAAAGTGGCATTCAACACATCCTCACAATGACTGGCTTAAAAAGCAGCCCAGGGGTTGAAAGGAGCTGATCTAAGGGGGATATTCCACAGCTCACCTGGGTTATGCAAACGTTTTTCTCTGTTATGTCAACCAGTCTTTATAGCACGAAAGTGCATTAGCTTGCATTATCTATATGCATTAGCTCACATTATACACTCTGGTGTGGTAGTGGAATTCTACTGGAGACTTTGGCATTGTTCATGCTTACGTAAAACAAACTAAAGGACAGCTTGGCCCTGGAAATAAGGACTTTGCTTCTTGGAAGCTTCGAGCTGACTATGAGGGCTAAAGGATACCCAGGACAATGAGATAAGGCAGCATCCCAGCCTCTCTGACCCGGCTTTGAAACCCTCCCAGCATCATCTGGTGTCGTAGATGAGGAACTGCAGCAAGACTGACTCCAGGGACGTCTGGAGCACCAGAAAGGCAGGAAAAACGCTGCAAAACTGGAGTGGTTTTGTATTTACTATGCTTAGTAACCAAGGTGTGTGTGTATTAGTGGTTAGTCAAATCACGTTGAACCCGGATGCTGGAAGGGTGCAAGAACACCACGTAAAACCCCACCAGGGTGCTCCAATTTGGCTGGGACACCTCATGTCCCCATATGAATAAATATTTGCTCTTGTAGCTTGTGTCCCAGCCTCTCTTCTTGGTCAGTTGGGGGTGGCTGTGGAGTTTTACAGCACCCATTGGCTGGGATTTGCCCTGGCAGGATGGAGGATGCTGATGTCCTTATGCTCCTTTTGCCCCCTTCCACATCCGCCCCTGCAGCTCGACCTGGCTTTACAAAATGGAGTAGATTTACACCAAGATGCAAGTTCCTCATCAGTGACAGGGATGGGATTTTGCTGCAAAGCAAAGCAAATACGTGGGTGCAGCAATGAAAGAAGTGGTGCTACCGGTGCTGATGAAGCAAAGGAAGAGGTCACAGATAAGAAGTCTTCCGGCCCAAGGTTGAGGTAGCCACCCACACCAAAAGAACACGGGGTCTGGCATTGGTAAATGATGTGACTGAGCCAGAACAGCAACTACAGCAGCAGGACATCCCCCAGGGACTGGTGGTGAGAGAAGTAATGAATCCAAATCATAGAATCCCAGACTGGTTTGGGTTTAAGGGAGCTTAAAGCTCATCCAGCTCCAACCTACCATGGGCAGGGACAGCTTCTACTGGAGCAGCTTGCTCCAAGCCCCTGTGTCCAACCTGGCCTTGAACACTGCCAGGGATGGGGCTGGAGCCAGGCTGAGAGAGCTGGGCTGGGGCAGCCTGGACAAGAGAAGGCTCCTGAAGGGGAGACCTGAGAGCAGCTCCAGTGCCTAAAGGGGCTGCAGGAAAGCTGGAGAGGGGCTTGGGACAAGGGACGTAGGGCCAGGCCAAGGGGAATGGCTTGAACCTGCCCGAGGGGAGACTGAGATGAGCTCTTAGGCAGAAGCTCTTCCCTGGGAGGGTGCTGAGGCGCTGGCACAGGGTGCCCAGAGAAGCTGTGGCTGCCCCATCCCTGGCAGTGTTCAAGGCCAGGTTGGACACAGGGGCTTGGAGCAAGCTGCTCTAGTGGAAGGGGTCCCTGCCCGTGGCAGGGGTTGGAGCTGGATGAGCTTTAAGGTCCCTTCATACCCAAACCAGTCTGGGATCCTATAATGATCTTCTGCACCCTTTGGTGAAGCCAGGTAGCAGGTCAGGTGGAATCAATGGTTTATAGGAAGGAAAGGCCTGCAAAACGTTGGCCTTTTCCCCCCAGCCCAGCTCTGTGTTGAGCACAGCTACATGGGACAGGATGCGGTGGCAGGCTGGGAACTGGGGCAAAACCATGATGGATGCAGGAAACCGGAGCTGCCAGAATGGGAAAGGGGGAACTGGCAGTCACTAAAGCAAGTTCTGCCATCAAGAAGCTACTTGTGAAGAAAATACGCATTTGCTGCCTTATTTTTTTGCTGATGATCTTCATTTTACTGAACGTGTAAGATTTGCATTAGCAAAACAAATATCACTCTTGGGTTGCTGCCATACCATGAATTTTTAATGCTTTATTAGAGCGCTGGAGGGTTTCAGCCCAGCCTACAGCTGCTTAATGGAGCGAGGCTCCACTTTGTTACCTCTTAGGCACCGCAGGGACCATCTGTCCTGGGGATTTAACAGCTGGGAAACCAAGCCCAGCTGGAAGCTAATTCCACACAAACCAGGTATCCCTCGGCAAAACCCTCTTTGTAAGCTGTGTGTGTCTTGATGCACAAAGGTATTCGTAACTTAAAAAGGCTTTTAGGAGTCTTTGGGATTAGATGGATCATCTGCTACCTGATAAACAGCCAGTGCTCAGTGTCAGAACTACTGATTGAATTGGGAAAAGCTGCACAAAAGCTTTCTCCAAGAGGAATGATGGAGTGGCATCAGGCAGCACAGTGCCAGGGCTGGGGAGGTGCGAACATGGGGATTCCATAGAATCATAGAATCTGGAATGCTAGCTTGGAAGGAACCTCGAGATCATCTGGTCCAACCTCCCCAGGCACAGCATGACCTAGACTGGATGGCCCAGCACCCTGTGCAGCCCAATCTTAACAGTGACCAACGCTGGGGAGTCACCACCTCCCTGGTGAGATTATTCCAATGGCTGCTTGCCCTCATTGGGAAACCTTTTCCTCTTCTGTCCAGCTGGAATCTCCCCAGCAGTAACTTGTGCCCATCACCCCTTGTGTTTTCTATGGGATTCCTTGTCCAAAGGGAGTCTCCGTGTTCTTTGCAGCCACACTTTAAACACTGGACCATGGTGACAAGGTCTCCCTGAGCCGCCTTCTCTCCAGGCTGAACAATCCCAGCTCTCTCAGCCTTTCCTCACACGCTTCCCATTCCTTGGATCATCTCCGTGGCCCTTCTCTGGACCCTCTCCAGCCCATCCACAGCTTTTTGTACAGCAGGGCCAAAACTGAACCCGGTATTCCAGGTGTGGCCTGACCAGTGCTGAGCTGAGTGGGACAGTGGCATCCTTATCTCTGCTGGTGATGCCCTTGCTGATGTTCCCCAGCACCCTGTTGGCTTTCATTGCTGCAGCCACCCACTGTTCATTCTTACTGAGCTTGTGTCCCCCAGGATCCACAGGTCCCTTTCCACAGAGGTGCTCCCAGCCAGGCAGATCCCAGCCTGTGCTGCACTCCAGGATTGTGCTTATCCAGGGGCAAAACCTGACACTTGCAAGTGGAAGGGGAAAAAATGTAGGAATTCTCTATATAATGTAATATATTCTATAATCCCAGCATTGTTTGTGTTGGAAGGGACCTTAAAGCTCATCCAGTTCCAACCCCTGCCACAGGCAGGGACCCCTTCCACTAGAGCAGCTTGCTCCAAGCCCCTGTGTCCAGCCTGGCCTTGAACACTGCCAGGGATGGGGCAGCCACAGCTGTAGTGAAAATAATGCATTAAAAAATAAATATTGGAGAGAAATCCTAGTGCAGCTGCGCATTGGCCAGGGAGGGTCCGGCTCTCCCTGGTGTCCTGGTCCCGATCCCATCCCCATCCCTATACCCATCCCCATCCCAATCCCAATCCCCATCCCTATCCCCATCCCTATCCCCATCCCAATCCCGACCCCTATCCCCATCCCTATCCTCATCCCAATCCCTATCCTGTTCCCAGTCCCCATCCCTATCCCCATCCCTATCCTGATCCCAATCCCGATCCCGATCCCAATCCCGATCCCTATCCCCATCCCAATCCCGATACCAATCCCCATCCCTATCCCCATCCATATCCCGATCCCAATCCCCATCCCTATCCCAATCCCAATCCCGATCCCTATCCCCATCCCGATCCCGATCCCAATCCCCATCCCTATCCCGATCCCAATCCCGATCCCTATCCCCATACCAATCCTGATCCCAATCCCCATCCCTCTCCCCATCCCTATCTCGATCCCAATCCCCATCCCTATCCCGATCCCAATCCCAATCCCTATCCCCATCCCTATCCCGATCCCAATCCCCATCCCTATCCTGATCCCGATCCCCATCCCTATCCCGATCCCAATCCCCATCCCCATCCCCATCCCGATCCCAATCCCCATCCCTATCCCGATCCCAATCCCGATCCCTATCCCCATCCCGATCCCGATCCCAATCCCCATCCCTATCCTGATCCCAATCCCCATCCCCATCCCTACCCCTATCCCCATCCCCATCCCCATCCCTATCCCGATCCCGATCCCTATCCCTACCCCATCCCTACCCCATCCCCATCCCCATCCCAATCCGCTGCTGCCCCTCCGGGTACCCGCTGACCGACGCGCCACTGTGACCACGCCCACCCATCGTATGTTCGTCATCTGACCCAGGCGACAGCGCTGACCAATCGGAGCTGGCGGCGGTGCCGCCGCTGTCGGAGAGCCCAATCACAAAGCTGCGGGTGACCAGAGGGCATGAATGGGGCGGGTCACGTGGTGGGGTGTTTTGCCGCGCCTCCTCCGCCCCGGGCAGGGATGGAGCCGGGGTCGGGATCGGGATCGGGTCCGGGATCGGGATCGGGTCCGGGATCGGGTCCGGGATCGGGTCCGGGTCCGGGTCCCGGTCGCTGGGGCCCGGTCTCCTGCGTTCTGACGGGCGCTTCCCGCGGCTTCGGCCGCAGCCTGGCGCAGCTGCTGGCTCCGCGCTTGGGCTCGGGCTCGGTGCTGCTGCTGCTGGCGCGCTCGGCGGCGCCGCTGGCCGAGCTGGCGGCCGAGCTGCGGGGCAGCGCCGCGGGGCTGCGGGTGGAGTGCGTGGCCGCCGACCTGGGCTGCGAGCAGGGGCTGCGGCAGGCGACGGCCGCGCTGCGGGAGGTGCTGCCCTCGGGGCCGCCCGGCCGCCTGCTCCTCATCAACAACGCCGGTAACGACGGGAACCCTCGTCCCTTTCCTCCCTTCCGGGTTGGCAGCCCTCCCCTCCCTTCCCCTCCCCGCGGCAGCGGGGCTCAGCCCTGGCGGGCGCGCCCTCGGTCCTACAGCGAGGCTTGATCGGTGCTTTGGGTGCCGGTGAACAGGGAAAAAAAGGGAAGGAGCAGGAGGGATTTCATCCTGCCTGGATCCCGTTATTGTGTTACATTAATGAGCTAGGGGTGCCGAGCAGGGATGGTTCGTTGCCAGGACCGCAGTGCTTTGCTGCTTGTAGAGTCATAGAATGGCTTGGGTTGGAAAGGACCTTAAGATCATCCAGTTCCAACCCTTTGCCATGGGCAGGGGTACCTCATCCTACACCGCATTGCCCAAGGCTCTGTCCAGCCTGGTCCTGAACACTGCCAAGGATGGAGCATTCACCACTTCCCTGGGCAACCCATTCCAGTGCCTCACCACCCTCACAGTAAAGAACTTCTGCCTTATCTCTAACCTGAGCTTCCCCTGTTTGTTTGCACCCGTCACCCCTTGTCCTATCACTACAGTCCCTGATGAAGAGTCCCTCTCCAGCATCCTTCTAGGCCCCCTTCAGATATTGGAGGGCTTCTCTTAACTCCTGTGTCCTTCTTTCCTAGGCTCCCTGGGAGACATCTCCAAATCCTTCCTGGATCTCACTGACCCGGATGAGATCAACAGCTACTTTGCCTTCAACGTCACCTCGGCGCTTTGCCTCACCTCCCATGCCCTGCAAGCCTTTGGGAAGAGGCCTGGCTCCAGCAGGACCGTGGTGAACATCTCCTCACTCTGTGCCCTGAAGCCCTTCAAGAGCTGGGCCCTGTACTGCAGTGGGAAGGCTTCCCGGGACATGATGTTCCAAGTGCTGGCACTGGAGGAGCCGGATATCCGAGTGCTCAACTATGCCCCAGGTGAGGAGGGTGCTCAGTCATTCATTTGCTCCTGCCTTTGTGGGTAAGATTCCTGCAGCCAAGCCAGGTACAGAGGGAAAAATGAGCCCCAGGTTTTGCTTTCTCTTCCTGGGATGTGGTTTTGGTTGCTCTTTCCCCAGGTCCCCTGGACACGGACATGCAGCTCTTGGCCCGGACTAAGACTGGAGACCCTGCGATGCGGCAGCATTTCCAAAGCCTGCAGGAGAGCAGGAAGCTGATAGACTGCACCGTGTCAGCCCAGAAGCTGGTGACTCTCCTGGAGGAGGACACCTTCCCCTCTGGTGCCCATGTGGATTTCTATGACATCTGAGTTCCTCTCACCTCCGCCTTTGCCTTCCTGCTTTGCTCTCTGCTGAGCCTTGTGTTTGGTTGTAGAATCACAGAGCGTTTTGTCCCTGCATCCCTTATCCCAAGCCCCTCTCCAGCTTTCCTGCAGCCCCTTTAGGCACTGGAGCTGCTCTAAGGTCTCCCCTTCAGGAGCCTTCTCTTGTCCAGGCTGCCCCAGCCCAGCTCTCTCAGCGTGGCTCCAGAGCAGAGCTGCTCCAGCCCTTGCAGCATCTGCATGTTCATGATCACCTTGGTGACCTTGTTTGAGTCCTGGGTGCTCTGCAGCTTTCAAGAGAAGACCTCTTGGTGCCTTAAAATACCCCAAGTGCCCCAGTGGGATTGAGGAGCAGTCACTGCTTTGCTGTCGCTGTGGAGCCCTCCTGGGTACCCACAAGCAGAAGGAGGGGTTTCTCAGCTGCTGGGAATGGGAGACCAGAGGTGCCTTTTCCAAGGGTTAAAGCTCTCCTGCACAGGAGTGTGTGCGGGCCAAGGAGGTACCAAGGCACATGAGGCCAGGTCAGAAAGCCACCAAGGGGTCTCAAAGAATCCAACAGTAGGGTTAGAGCTGAGTGTCCCCATGTCTGTCCCTGTTGCCCCTCAGGAGCTGTGTGCTCAGCACCTGAGCAAGTCACCAAAGAGCAAAAGAGCCATTCCCAGAGCCCTGACTTCATTCCCTGTCTCAGCAGTGCCTTGTCCAGACCCTCCTGCAGTCCTGGGATGGTCTCTGGGTGAGTTCTGTGCCTTAAGACATGGAGCAAAGCCTGTCCCTGGGGGGTTGTTGTGCCCAAAGGCAGTTGATGGCCAGGAGAGGGAGCTGCCTGTGGATGAGATGTGAATCTGGGGGGGGCTGGTGGGGTCACCAGCTTCCCTAGACCTGTGCCCAAGCACAGTACAGGTTAGAGGACACCTGAGGCACAGCCCTGACTTCATCCCATGCTCCTGTTTGCCTGAATCTGGGTTTCAGCCCCTCCTGGGTTGTTCTTTTGATTATATGGGGAGTTTCACCATCATTTTCCAGGGGGTTCCAGGAGGCACTTGGGAGGTTTGCCCATTGAAAGCAAATAGCTCTGCCCATAGATCTGCAGTGTGTGTTGCTGCAGGAGAGCTGCACTGAAGCCCAGTGGCATCCCCTGCATCCCTCTATACTTCATGCCAACAACCTCCTCCCCAGTGCAGTGCCTCATCCCTGCATTTCCCATTTCATCCATCTGGATCTGCAGTCATTAAAAGTTTCGTGTCTGTTGTGGGTCTTGTGTATCATTAAAAGTGGGGTTTGGGAGGATGGGAGGGGAGATCCTGGGTTAAGCACTGACAAAGCCCCAGCGTGCCCTCTTGGAGTCCTGTTCCTCCATCTCTGAGCTCTTTCATTAATGCTGTGTTAACTTAATCCTGTCAAGCTCAACAAACACTGCTCCCCAGCTTGTCTGCGTGGTTTCATCTTCCCTCTGTGCTTGTGAAACTCATTATTAGCAAAGCCCCCTCTGCTGCTCCCAGCACTGACAATGGGGTTGTTCTTCTGCAGTCTGATGCTTAGTGGTGTTTCTTATGGCCTGTGTAACCTGGGTGGACCTAAATTCCCCCATCTCCTCACCCTGAATCCCTATGGCCTTGTCCCATCCCGTCTTGGGAATCTGGCTTTTGATAAAAGCATAACCTCAGGGCTCAGAGCTGGGGTCTCATGTACTGCCCTTGTAGGAGCTTGGACAATGAGGCTGGACTGGAGGTAGGAGCTCTGTATTGCAGGAGGAGGTGGGGGATGCAGGACATGGGGACCATTTGGTGCCAGCTGGGTGGGAGATGCAGGTGGGTTCTTCAGGGTAAGACACATGGAAACCAAGGTAACAAGGATTATTTTGGGGTTTGCTTGAGATCTCATCTCCCTCCAGTAGCTGCGGGTGATGTATCAGCAACCACATGTGTCCTTGGAGCATCTGCATGAGTGGTTGTAGCATTACAGACTTACCACTTGAAACCAGGTACTTCTCCAACCCAAACCTCTCCCCCAAGACAGGATAGAAGGCAGGGAATGCTGACTTTCAATAGCGAGGTGTTTAGGTCAGGCTGCACACAATGTTAATGAAATAAAACCATTAGTGAAACACTGGATTGATTAATAGAATGGTTTGTGTTGGAAGGGACTTGGCCTGTCCCTACATCCCTTGTCCCAAGCCCCTCTCCAGCTTTCCTGCAGCCCCTTCAGGCACTGGAGCTGCTCTCAGGTCTCCCCTTCAGGAGCCTTCTCTTGTCCAGGCTGCCCCAGCCCAGCTCTCTCAGCCTGGCTCCAGAGCAGAGCTGCTCCAGCCCTCGCAGCAGCTCCATGGCCTCCTCTGAACCTGACCCAGCAGCTCCACGTCCGTCTCATGTTTGGAACTGGGCCACTTTTCGCTCCCTTTTCTGTCTCCCCTGGTACCCGGGGGATGCTGGTATCCCTGGCAACCACCACCCCCTAGGTACCAGCACCCTCCTACCCAGGTTGCTGGCCCAGTTCCCATGCCCCGTGGGTCCAGCCAACGTCTGTGCCCCCATGGGTGCTGTGAGATGCAATGGGGAAAACGAGGCGGAATCTTTTCCTTCCCTTTCCTAGCACTTTCTGTGACCAGCTGAGGGCGTACCGAGACCGGGTAACGGAGCCCGGCCGTGCGCGGGGCCCTGAGGATGGGGGCATCGGTGCTTCTGGAACCGCTCGGTGGGGCTGGAGCGGGGCACAAGCTGGGGCTCCCCTCCTGCCTCTGCACCGTCTGATCCCAGGTCCCTGCCGCCACTCACTTGGCTTTAGCTGAATCTCCACGTCCTGGAGCCGCTGGGACCGTGCCAGAGGCTCAGCAAGGGGGAATGGGAGTATTTCAAACCCAAGGTTTGAGCTCTCCTCGTTACAGTCAGGAGCTCCCAGCTCACTGCCCAAAGTGGATCCGATGGGAACAACACACCCGGCCCTATGGGGCGCCCCAGTATTTGGGCAGTGCTGTCCCATGGGCTAAGGAGGAGCTCTGTGGCAGAAAGGGATCACCCCGAAAGGATCGATCACCTCCTCCATCCCACATAGCACCCACGTTATCCCTGATGGGGGTAAAGTTGGGCTTCTGAAGCCCCAAATCCTGCCTGCCATGGGGTGTCCCTCCAAGTGGGGCTGCCCCTCACCTGCTTCCCACCCTGCCTCCTGCAGTAAGGTGCTGCATAGGGCATTTTATCCCTTCTCCACCCTATTTCCTTTTTGCTTCCATTCCCATCCCTGGAGCAAAGCCCTGGGGCTTGTGACAGCACCAGGAAGGGCTCTTTAGCCCCACTCTCCTAGTGTGGGGCTGCAAGGGCTCTATGGGACATCCCATCCCTCTATGCCCACCTTTTTGCTCCGAGCTCATATATTTACAAGCAAATCCATTTCCTTGCAGTTTTCTGTAGTGGATGGGTGCTGGAGAGGTCAGGTGTCTCCTGGTAAATAGGGACACCAAGCTGGAGCACGAGCTGTGCAGGTGCCTATAAACCATCTCCCTGCTTGATATCCCTATAAAACACTCCAGGAAAACCCCTGTGATGGCCTCAGTAGCAGTTTGGGGCAGGAATGGAAGTGCCAGTGCGATGCTCAGGGGTGACACGGCCCAACCTCCAGCACCACGTCCCCATGGGACCCGTTCTAACCCATTCCTCATTCCTGGGGAAACACTGTGCCCTTTGTGCCATGGGGAACGGAGTTATGAAAGGAGCCGAAGTCAGCGCTGGGGTTCTGTTTCCATGTGTGTGACCAGGTCCTTGTCACCGTGGTGAGAATGAGCCGGCTAAATCCTCCCCAAAGCCTCCCAAATTAAAAGCATCGTGCACCCCACGACCTCCCAAATCTCAGCCCCTGCCCTGCGCTGCCCCCGGCTCAGCAGGGCAGGAGGCTGCAGCCAGGGTGCTCTGCCCCTTATGAAAGGCTTCTGAGCAGAGGGGAGATGATGACCTTTATTGTCCCATCCAGGGGCCAGAAATGCTGAGCACGGCCCTTTTGGCCAGGACATCGAGTGCCCAGCGAGCTCCTTGCTCGCAAACAAGCTGCTGCCTCCGGCCGTGAGGACAAAGGTGACGGAGCTGCTCCCGTCCTGTGTGCAGAGCCTCTCGAGGTGCCCATGGAGACACCCAGAGACAGGCACATAGAATCCTCGAGACACAGCCTGGTTTGGGTTGAAGGGAGCTTAAAGCTCATCCATTCCCAACCCCTGCCACGGGCAGGGACCCCTTCCACTAGAGCAGCTTGCTCCAAGCCCCTGTGTCCAACCTGGCCTTGAACACTGCCAGGGATGGGGCAGCCACAGCTTCTCTGGGCACCCTGTGCCAGCGCCTCAGCACCCTCACAGGGAAGAGCTTCTGCCTAAGAGCTCATCTCAGTCTCCCCTCTGGCAGGTTCAAGCCATTCCCCTTGCCCTGGCCCTACATCCCTTGTCCCAAGTCCCTCTCCAGCTTTCCTGCAGCCCCTTCAGGCACTGGAGCTGCTCTCAGGTCTCCCCTTGAGGAGCCTTCTCTTGTCCAGGCTGCCCCAGCCCAGCTCTCTCAGCCTGGCTCCAGAGCAGAGCTGCTCCAGCCCTCGCAGCATCTCCATGGCCTCCTCTGGCCTCGCTCCAACAGCTCCACGTCCCTCTTGTGCTGCTGCCCCAGAGCTGGATCAGGGCTTCAGGGGGGGTCTCCCCAGAGCACAGCAGAGGGGCAGGATCCCCTCCCTGAGCTGCTGCTCACGCCCTGGGGGTGCAGCCCAGCACACGGGGGGGTTCTGGGCTCAAGCGCTCACTGAAGCTGGGTCATGGGGAGCTTCTCCCAACACCCCCAAGCTCTGCTCCTCAGGCTGCTCTGGGTCACTTCTCTGCCCAACCTGTAGCTGTGCCTGGGACTGCAGATGAACCTGACCCTGGTGCGTCTCTCCTAGACGCACAACCAGGCACCCTGGAGCCTCCTGCTTCTCTATGTGACAGGTCAGACAGCTTTGCAGCCGCTTCTCAGGGCCATGGCTGGGATTTGGTGGATGTCCATGGAGCCTGAGTGGGGTAGAACAGCAAACGTCTTTCTGCTGAGCTGGCATGGTTCTTCTCCCCATCTCTGAACCCTTGCTCACGCATCCGCCTGCCTGCAACTCTGCATTCCCCACTCTTAGCCCATTGACCTACTCTTACTCATCTCCTCTCTACATCGTTCCCTGGTTTTGGTGGCTTTAGGACTAGGAAAGGAGAAGGAACAGCTCCAAGCTGGCCTGGAACAGGCATTTAATGAGTAATGAGGGACCCTGCAAGGGGAGATAACAGATTAACCCAGTTTAGAGCCAAAGAGCAGAGGGTTTGCTGGTAAACTGTCCTGTTCCTGCCAGCTTCAAATGCCTTTAATGAGTTATTATTTAGGCTGCTATGGAGGTTAATGGGGGGACACTGCAGAAATGATCTGGGATTAATTAAACCATCGTTATCCAGCAAGGACAGAGCTGGAATCACTGGGATGGGCTGGGTCCCCAGCTTCATCATTGCTTCTAATGCTGCCCTGTACCCACTGAATTCACCCGTGATTGCACTGGACCCTGCAGAGCAGCAGCCACCTCCACTCCAATGGGAAAGAGCACCCAGAAAGAGGAGGTTTTCCCTGTTTTCCTATGCACCAGGCTTTATCACGCTTGCTGCCGGCCCATGTGGGATGCAGCCGGGTGCATCTCAAACCACCTTCCCCATATATCAAGAGGTGAGCTGGAGCCAGGCTGTGCCTGAGCTGCTTCCATGTCTCCCTTGGGATTTGGGTCCCAACACTGCCTTTCCCTGCTCCCTTTCCTCCATCCTGTTCAGATCAGTGCATCCATCTTCCCCTTCCACAGCCCATCCTGTGCCGTGGTCACAGCCCATCATCCTCCATCCAGCCCTGAAACCCTCCTGTGCTGAGTGCTCAGCCCTTCCCAAGCACTGAACAATCCCAGCGGGTCCCTGTCCTTCCCATT